TAAATTGTTTAAATATTTGTTAATTGTTAGATTATTTTAAATGTAGTTTAAGAAGATTACTATTACTGTAATCATTCCACAGTATGTTACTGTGAGTAACGAGAAGCAGCATGTCAGATATAGCGAGAGATTGATTTATCATAGATCTTGCAGCTACCGTGATTAGATTCGCGTTTCCTCTATTAGCATACGTAATGTGAGCACGCTCAGCGAACAAGAAACGTTGGATACAGAAATTCGTGTTGATACATCAGTTGATAGATATTATTAGCATACGCAATGAAAGTTTCTTTGAAAATATATTTAACAGATCATCTCTCGCGATTTGTTATACATATTTAGTAACAAGCATTTTCAGACGTCTGATAGTAAAAGAAATACTGAAGGATGAAGTACGCACATAAAATTCGACTAAAAATGCAGTATGAATGAATACAGACATATTAGGATTTTATATACGCATATTTTTAGTTATCGTAAAAGTAGGAACGAAAATCTTAGATTGCTGTGATAATTCTTTTACGTGCATGAAAATAAATCGTACGTCATACGAGTTATTTCTGATGTCATTATGATGAGAGCTACTTGAATACGTTACTAGCAGCCGAGGTTATCCCCTAAAATATTCGGCGCATGATATATATTTTTAATGTAACATAGCGTTCCCGGCGCTCAACGTGAGTGCCCTAGATTCGAATAATCAGATACGGGGAACCTAAAATAGGAGAATTTATTTCGTCCCGTCACGCAGGCCCGACTGACAAAGTTTTCATAAAACGATTTTTCCGCATTAAAACAATAAAATTTGAATACAATTTTCAGGGTAAAAATGTCAACTGCGAAAAACGTATTTTCTATTTGACCATCGTGTTATATTATTCATGACAAAATGGTTAATATACCTTTTTAATGGGATTGTCTAGTAACACATATTTTATATGATGAAAGTGCAGGTGTTCACTGTGCGTGTCAAGAAGACTGGTGACGTCATAAAATATATGAATGGGTAGACAATGAAATATTTAATTAGACGTGGTATTTAATTAAAAGCCTTACATTATATATACGTCTGTCCATAATATGTTTTTACGAAATGATTAATATCTACGAATAAAGACATATTTCTGCGAGTTAAAAATTGAAAAGCTTTTCTGTATACAAAGATAGAGTAAAGAGAGCTAAGAGAAATAAATACGTCTGTGCTCTGTAAACACAGAGGAAAGGAACACAGGCAGTAGGATCCCTGAATAAAAGCTGGAATAAGTGCACCGTGTGTTTGCATGACGGATCATCTGCTTTTCCTTCATACCGTAAACGACAACTACTTTTCTGTTCAGAAGAAGTTTAGTTTCAAGCAGAGCTATGGATCTATAGAAGAACCTGCTCTTTTGATACGTTTATAGATTGTCACAAGATCTGTCATTTGATATAACGTTTTAAATTACAATAATAAATTAATTCCGTACAAAGTCTGTTTATATAAAATTAATAAATAAATGATTATTTATATGACAAGTTTTATTTTATTTATGGTCGTCCTCACATCTCATTCGGCTGTGTTCTTTATTATTTACGAATGAGAATGTAAGTATGCGTTTTTACCTTCGTTACACGTGGGCCCAGTGAAACTGGTCATGTCGCAGTCGCACGTGTAACTGTTCCATTGCTGGACGCACGTGCCGTGATTCGAGCACAGGTCGTGCGTGCACTTTTTGCCGGGGTGAACGCCGGAATACATGTCGCAGCCGGATTCCACTGAAGAGCTGGGCACGACCGCATCCGAGATCAGATTGGTGCTCTCGCCGCTGAGGTCCAACGATGCGAGGCAACCCTCGAAACCGTGTTTACTGAGTATTTGCTTTGGCAGTTGACCGTACTGCGATTTCTCCACGCCGCCTGAAACCGTGAAACGACGCGTTAATAGCGACGACCAGGGGGGTGTAACATAGTTTCAGTTTAAATCGTTTTGATCAACGTGATGACATGATGATGACAATCATTTATACTTGGGATGGAATGATCGCATTAGCATTCTTAATTGATAGAACAAATTAGGAGGACATTTTGTGTAACATTTTGTATTTCTGTATTTTCGAGAGTGTAACCAGTTATTGGATTTCGTTAAGAGTGTGAGACATAAAAAAACATATCTGTGTTTCCTTGCTTGCAAACAATTTTATTGGAATTCTACAGAATTTGCATTCATTACAATTTAATAAAGATGAGTAACATTAAATGCTGTTTTTAAATGTTGTTTCATTTCTACAATTTATATATCTTGGTCAGTTAGAGCATCAGATGTAGATTACTTCTTTTAATTATATATTTCTCTGCAGTGTCCTGTTGGGTCTCTTCTTTGGCCCTCAGGACACTTCCGTTTAGGAACCTGAATGACGGTCCTGTATTGTAATTCAGAGTCGTCAGCCGGAAGACTGGACACCCATGAAGTCGTGAAAGTTTGCAAGATGAGCATAACGAAAAGAACATTCACCAGACAGAGTAATTTCATGTTCCGGTTCTTCATTATTCTTGCAAAATCAAAATCAGTTTTCCGATTCTCTTAATTCTCTCTGGTAGTCCTTTTGTAATTTTTTGCGATCAACTTACGTTAACCTGCTGTTTAGACGATTGTTCTGTGAGGAACTGTGACTGAACTGACGAAGCTTCCAGCTTTTATCCGTTGAACTCAGTCACGAACAGAACATTACGCAGACAGTAAAGTCGAATATTCTTCGAACGAAATTTCAAATTTATGGATTTCTAATCATTTGGATATTGTTATCTAGTTTTACGGAATCATGGGGAAATGATGAGCCATAAAAATGCATGAAGTTGTCACGCTTCCTTCGAGTCATCACATTTATTTCGCTGAAACTTGAACTCTTATAACGAAGCGATGGTTACGATAAATAAGGGGGGTGTAACAGTGGTTGAGTTTAAATTAGCGCGATATTAGTTGAAATTATTTATACTTGGGAATCATCACAGTTGCATTCTTAATTAACACTGTACAGAACAGTTTGCAATTAATTTTATTTGAATCCTACAGAATTTTCATTCATTACAATTTGACAAAAATGAGAATCCATTAAATGTTGTTTCATTTCTACAATTTATATATCTTGGTTATCATTATCAGATTTAAATTACTTCTTTTAAATGAAAAATGTAATGTTAAATATTTCCCTGCATCGTCCTAAAGCATGGTCCCTTCTCGTGCCTTTAGGACACCTCCTTCTAGGAAAATTACAAATGATGCACCTGCATTGTAATCCATGCTTGTCAGTCGAGAGATTGAATACCGATGAAGTCATAAGAGTTTGCAATATAAATATAACGTGAAAAACATTCACTAAATAGAGTAATTTCATGCTTCGGCTGTTCACCATTCATGCAAAATCAAAATCAGTTTTCCGTTGCCTTTAATTCCCTCTGGTAGTCCTTTTGTAATTTCTTGTAGCCAACTTTCACTAATCTGCATCAGATTCATCGATATTTGTGAAGGACTCTGGTTGAACGGATGACGCGTCCAACTTTCATTCACGAAACACAGTCGTGAACAAGATTATGCAGACAATAAAGTCGTGCATTCTTACATTTCTTTATGGATTCCTAATCACTTTTCGATACTGTTATCCATTATTACGAAGTCACGTAAAAATCATAAGCCACAAAAAAATATGAAGTTCTCACGCTTGCTTGCACTGATTATACTTATTTCGTGTAATGTGACAAGTCTTTCTGATAACAGAACTTTTTTTTAATTTATGTATTGATATTTAAATTGATTCATACTTTGACTGATCAATAGAATCCAAAGGCAAATAAACCGAGTGCGAATATTGAAAGCATACGACTGTCGGTAAGCAATATATAACGTGTTCCTTCGAATACAATCGGTATTAATTTATGTCATAAGCGCTATTCGGTATTGTTTTTTTTATCATCCCACGTTGGACGTAAAACCAAGAGGCATAAACATATATAAATGATTTTCAAGTCACGTATACAAAACTATTTATTAGAATACTTTAATTTGTCTATTATTTTACAACGTTCACATTTACATTCATTTTTATTTTCAACATGATAATGAACTCACGTAGCACATAAGAAAACTATCATTACTCCATTATCTGCAAGACTGGGATTTAAAAAATTGCAATATTAATGTTAAACACGAACAGGCAACTTCGTGATGATAAAACGACCATAAATAAAAAACAAAGTAAAAATCAGGATTACTTGTTATATATAGCGTATAATTCTTGATGTTCGTTCTTTAGCGAAACTTAGAGCACATTTATGTTTAAGATCCAAACTGTTTCTCTATATAGAACATTGTGTACTTTCTTATTTAGTCTTCCGTGTTTTGAAAAATAAGAAAGTACACAATGTTCTATATAGAGGAACTGTCGGATCTTAAACATAAATGCGCTCTATAATTCTTAAGTCAAGAAGCAGAATAAGGTAAACGCGAAAATAGTGTATCGTCGATTTTTAAACAGCGAGATTGCAATATGTACATTATGATAAATTATCGTCTAGTTTCTTAAAAATGTAGACTTAGAAACGATTTAAAATATGATTCAATGACACTGTATCAATAATCAATTATAAGCTGATTAGATATAGGACAGCGATTAGGATTATAAAAATCTCGCGTTCTAAAATCTTTATCATTTAATTATAGCGTGATAAATTCATACATCTTAATCTGTTCAATTTTCCACACTATGTAAAATGTTCACAAGCACTAAGATTGAATAATAATTTTTAAGCACAGTAACGTAATAGTTGTATTGAAATTCAAGTTATCCGTGAAAAATCGAGGCATTGAAATCTACTTTTAAGATTTGCACTTAACTGCATCAGAAATTGATTCACGGTTTCGATCACAGATGCCGGAATTCTAATCAAAAATTTCGTTCCACTTAGCAGCTGGCTTATCGTTATGCCCGATGGACCAACCGTGTGCGGAGGAAGTGGGTGGCCGGCTCGAGATGATATGTATAAATTTAAATCCGGCTATAGTTAAATGGTTCGTCTAAAATGCGCTAAGTGCATAGATGTCGAATCGAGGTGCTCGGTTTTAGTGATAAGAAGTCCAGATAGATTGTTCTTCGTCACCATATTTTGCCGAGGTAACGTTCATTTGGTTAACCGAACTTGCGATTCGACAGAAATACCGCGACGGATTCGCGGCTGCTAAAATAGGAACCATGAGAATTTTCCGTGCAAGCTTCGTCTGGATTCTTCTCATCATCTTTGTTATTCAATTTACAACAATACACTCAGAACCAGTACCGAGCAGAACGCTAGTTACCAGATCAACAAGAAGACATAGAAAGCACCATCGTCAACGTGTGTCTTTTATGGAATGTATGGATATTTTCTTCTACAGGAAACACCAAAGAAAGTGTGATAAATTATAGTAAGTTCGTCTTATAAAGCGCTAATATAGTAATCGATACGAATTGATTAACATAAATTTTATCGAAGTAAACAATAGAGTATATAAAAGTGGAAATCTAAATTTGTAAAATAATTCGAAAATAAAACTTGTAATTTTATGATTAAAAATAAATATCTATATTTTTCAGTTCACGTGAGCTGAAGGGATTATTCTCAATGTTCGGAATTTAGTGTACGTATCACAGATTTCTACTCTTTTTAAACGAATGTAAAATTTTCTAGAAATTCTTTTCAGTCAAATTCTTGCTTTTATCTTAAATTGACAGTCGCGTTTTTAAAACAGCTTTGCACAACTATAATAAATAAGTATAAAATAAGTTTGTCACAGCAACTGGAGATGATAATATTTTTTAGAAACCGATTGATCACGTAGTAAAATAATGATAAACATTAAAAATGCCAAGGGAGAATTGTTTGGATGAACGAAGATTAAATTGATGCGCTGCCCAGAATGCGTATTGTATTCCTTCTACATTAATAAAATGTTATCGATTATGATTATTGCTGATATGATTATTTATATTATAAACCTTGTTAATAACTGGTACATATATAGGACAGCAAATTATTTTTAATACGCACAGATAGAAAATGAACGAGTGATTTTTCATATGACATTTTTAAAACAAGAATGTGCATAGAATTTGGTACACCGCAATTATAAAAAAGCAGAATCGCTTATCAATTGTGGTTTTATCAACCACTTATCGCGTCGCCGATCGGCGTTAAATCGGGAAAGCAAAACCACAAAGTAAACTAAGCGAGGGATTACAAGTTGACGGAATACTGGTTACAAATCTAATCTAGACGGTGACGGAATATTGTGGTTAAAAGCCGGATGCACGAGAATCCCCAATCGACTTGTATACATTCGCGAATCGTATCTCGCCTCATTCAATAGTGACCAGTCGGAGGAATCTCATTTATACGACTTGCACGCGCTTCATTCCTCTTACAATTATTTAACAATTACGATTAAAAGTGATATAACAATTTCGTCAGTGAATTTCCACGTTTCTTTGAGGATTTTATAAAGCGCGGCCGAGTCTATCAGCATGTCACGACTCACAAGTGTTTACTTCATTTTTATTGTTATTCAATTATTAGTAACGCTATCGACGTGTCAGGTGGACGACAGGTTGAACGTGCTTGATGAATGGAGAGTCCAACCACCACAAATTGAAATTAGATTATTGAAGAGCCATACGTCAAAAGATGGGAACATATTGGACAGCATCGAATATATATTTTCGAACAATAACGAATACGCGGAATCGCAGAAGCAAGAAAATACTGGCAAGAAGTCTGAAGACGTTCGAACGGAAGAAGAGAAAAAGACTACTGTAATACCAAAGTTTGGAGGTAGAACTATTTTCCGTATACCAAAAATCCAGTGCCCCCCGGGTCAACAACGAGATTATTTAGGCGAGTGTAGAGACGTCTTGTAAGTAATAATTTTTCATATATCATCTTTTCAAATAAAATCCTGATAAAACAATTTGAAATATGGATCAGTAATCTTCAGCACACGCGAATTTATCGAATTTAAATATTGTTACATTTTTTTTGTATTTCAGTGTACCATAGAAATCATAATTGTGAAAAACCAGAACAATTGCATTTGACCGAACTATAAGAAACTAGGAGTGGATGTATGCGTACGACGTTACGCATAAAAGCTTTACTCTCTAGTTATCTTGTTTCTATATACTTTTGTAAGAAATAAATTAATTATCTAATCCTAGACGAGTAGATCGTATCAATAGTTTACATAACAAATCTCGAGAATGCGATTTTTAGAAATCCCATCCTGCGTACTTCGACGAACGTGGCCAGTATCTACTATTTATACGTTTGATCGATGATTTCATTCTGAGCACGCCGATTTTCAACTTTCCGACTTTATCACGGCAATCTCTCCGCTCCGAGCGATACGTACCGCGATAAATCGTGCCGGGTTTTTTGAAATTCGTGATTCATAAAAGTAACATTTTTCAGCTTCGAGGTATCGAGACGGTTTTACCCTCGCCGAAGGTCAGCGATATTTCACGAAACGAGACCGTCGCATCACGTCTCCGTTTTGATAAGTGCGTCACGCACGTTTCATACGTACCTACACGCAGAGAGCAAGGGTGATAAATTAAACTCTCTGGTTTTATAACGTAATATGATGTCAGTTTCACTTTGCGTGACACGATGCGCGCTTTAAAGTAAGATAAATGTCCCTGCACGCGTGTAACTTATGCATCAGACTAGTATTTTCGGACGATGCATTCATGTAAGTCCCTGAGAAATATGCGGAAATTCCTGCCCGAGCCTCCTAAATTGCTGTATTTTTGCTGTTATATTAATCAGGCTTGTCACTCTCTATAGAAACGTCACTATTCATTCTCAACATTTATTTATATCGTATAATAAATTCTATTAGATTATCTCGTTTCATCATGGGATGCTGAATTTTCAGTTGAGTAAGACATGTAATTAATTTTCATTCTCTCTTATTTGTATAATATTGATAATGTCATTCTTAAATCTCTGAAGATAAGACCAACTATTTACGATATCTATGTTCGTGATTACAAAAGTACTTATCAGTGGCTATTACAACTTGACCCAATTCCATCCCTAGTAAAAATAATTCCAAACGCAGTTCTCATCGCAATAGAAAACTATTATCAACTCACTAAATCCAATATTTTATTTAACGAATCATTTTTGTCTTTCCTCTCGAAAAATGCTAATAAAATATTAAGTACTCACCAACATACAATATCCCGTCGAGGTCGAGGTTCTCGTTACTGCCCTGACTATTGACAGCGGTAACGTGATCGTCGACCGCGAGCGTGTGCCTTTTCGGCGCCGGCCTGCCGATGCTCACCGCGTGCCATTTTCCATCGTTTAGCTTCGACTTTGACGTGTCCCTGATCCTGACCGGTCCATCGCCCAGGTCGAACACGTAGTGGACGTGTCCACTGGCCAGCTCCACCGCGATGAAGTCCCGCTCGCGGCCGGCATTGAACAAGATCAACCCGTTCGCCTCGCGCGTTTTAAACTGAAACACGAGTATCATCAATTAGAATCAAGTCTTTTTATATACTGTTTTTAAAAGAACCGAAAATGTAGACAGAATTCACTATAATATTTTTTGTATCTCGTAAAATATATTGGTACTTCGTGTCTTAATTTTTATACTGTACTTCTTATATTATTTTGATTTTTTTTTTAAATTTCTAATGAGTTTCCCTGAAATCTGGTGCTTTTCTCTCGTACTGATTTGGTACGCTTTTCAAATAAGCTTTGATGCAAAATATTTATAGAGCTCGATTGCGCCAACCAATAGTGCATTCACGTCATTATCATGGTAAAAACGGAAGCTTGATGAAAGGCAATGGGGTAAATAAAAAATCCGTCGACTGCGGGACGTAATTAGGGAAGTGACGGCTTATCTGTCGCTTGGCACGAAAAGCCAGGCATGATTGGTTTTCACGTGCACCACCGTGACACGTGCAGCGATTAATCCAGCGTTTGTGCATCGAATCGCGAACATCGGCGAGGAAGAGAGATACAGAGATCCTCTAATTGGGCTAACCTTTTGTACGGACACGTCACCGTTGACATTTCATTTCCTCTGTGGACCCTGAACGAAACACTAATTTTCCAACGTGCACCAAAACTGACCAGAACCACCTCAGTTTTGCGTATTTTCTTTCCAAGGAATCGTAAAATTCCGTCAAGTATTATGCATTTCAAATTTTGTGTTTTAAGGAAAGTATGAGACTTCGTCTAACTTATTTCTCATTGGGAGACTTGCATTAGTAGAATTAGTAGAACACAGTAGAATGAAAACAATTTAAAAAGAACATTGAGTCGAGGGCAAAATTAGAAGTTGTTTGAAAAATGTTACCTGGAAATAGATGTTCGTTTCCACGTACGCTTTCAAGACGGGCAATCCTACGAACGTGTGTTTCGACGTGAACGTGACTGGATAATGGACCGGGTGATTCCGCTTGCCGAATTTGCCTGTGACCCTGATGATGGGCGTTACACCTTGATGGGAAGCCTGATGATTTCCAGAACTTCGCGCTATTTCCAGATATGGGTAGCCGTTAAACCAGATCTGCTGCAGCTGACCAACGAAGTGCGGGATTTCCTCGCCGGCGTGCAAATACCCGCCGATGTGGAGCCTTCGGAATTCCAAAATGCCTTGCTTGCCAAGCGGCGTTTCCGCTGTCAAAGGGAATCGAAGAAATTTTGTACGATCCGGTGAAAGTGATTAAATATTGTATGAAATAAAAAACGAGTTTTTATATGAACATTAACCTTTTGGAATAATCATATCTTATTAAATTTTCAATCTTTCGTTTAATGGAAAAGATCGAATGCTTCGTAAATATCTGTCTACTTCCTCGATGGCCACAAAATTAGTTCTGCATTCTTTTTGTGTGTTTTCAAAGAGGGTAGGAATGAGAGTAAGACAAAGTCGTTAATAAGAATCTGGACGTTCGCGACTGGAAATAGAGTAGGGAGGAGTGTGCTCTCACGAAAGTCGAACGGAAACTCCGGCGGAAAGTTACACGGGAACTATTTTAATTATTAGCCCGGCCCGGGATTGTCCTCTTATCCCGGAGACAATGGGAGCTCGATATCGGCGCATTGTTCTTTCGCGGCCATCTTACCCGATCCGACGCCATTAAGCTTAATTGTCCCCGGGCACAATGCACTGAACTTTGTAAATTAGTGCGACGTAAGTATCGACAGCCGTTGCTAATAAATCTGCCGTCGTTACCTCGCGAAAGGTTGCCCGTGAAAACGGCACGAGAAAAGGGATTTTCCCTTCGAAGCTATTTATTCCATTCAAAATTGGGTCAACGTTAAACGTGGAATAGTAATTTGAAATTAAAATGCACCTTAAAAATATTCGACTAATGCCGAATGAATTTTAATAATTCAACGTCTCATTTTCTATAAATATAATATTGATATAAGTGCAAATATTTGTTCATCGAATTAACGATGAAAATGTTAATTATCCGATGCTGGATTTGGTCGTTGAATTTCCCAAATTGTCCACGAAAATTTGCACGCCGTTACAGAAATAACCATGCCCGGCGAATTGGTAGCTAGCGTCCATAAATCAGTCGCCAAATGTATTCTTTCATTTGCATAATTACACGAGTCGCATGTAGATATACGCGAATATAATCCACGCCAACGAATTTGAATCACCGTGCTCATCCCGGTCCGAGCGAACGGGGACAGCGAATTGAATTCTCGAGTAATTTCCAAGTTGTTTCAGTTTCGATTCGATCAAGCGATAAGCATTCTCCGAGTTATAATTAAATTCTCGCCGCCTCCGGTGGTCGAGTCGTCGATGCAATTCAGAGACCAACAAGATTCGCTCAGCGCGGCGGAGCGTGTAAGTTTCGCTTGCACAACCGTGTGAACTTCGTCAAACGCGTCGCGTAATGTTGGGTTTCTCCGCGATTAGAACACCGGGACGTGTCTTCGATGGACTTTTATATACGACGGACCGACGCAGTTCAGAACGGCGAGTTTCACGCGTTGTTTGACGTCAATTTACGATTCGATTAAACGGCCGGCGCTATCGGCCATTAGTACAACCGATCCTCGTTCCCGGTCGCAGCTGCGTGGCATTGTAATTTCGAACATGAGCTACCTACCTGTTTGTCACTTGTCAACAGGTATTGTATACTTCGGCGACAGATTAAGGTGTTTGCGTCTCGTTTTGTAAGCTTGATTATGAACGTTTGTGATCCAGATCTGAATGCTTCTAGTTACGAGAGTTCAAGTACTAAATTGGAAGATGTAATTGTTACTCTGAATAAAAGTATAAACAACATGCATTAAAGGCATAAGAAGATTTGAGGTTCAGAATTCTTTCACACGATCTTATCTTAACTATATTAGATAACCAATTTGTGGATATGTACTGGTATGATATATGTATTTCGATCAGAAACTCCTATTTTAATTCTGCGCGTGACTATATACGAGCAGCTTTGTTGTTTTGTGTTGATACTTCTTGAGTAACAAACCAAAGGACATGGTGCACTCAACCTCAGCCAGTAATTATCGTGCGATCGATGCCAGCGACGATCATACAACTGAAGATCGTGCGGAGCTCATGGACGATGCCCCGCCGACCGACCGACCGACCGACCGACCGGTCAAGCAATTTAGGGTATTGCCGCGTAACTCAATATTGCTGGCACTCGCCATCCATTTAATAAGCTGTTCTGAGGGGGTCGATGCGAGTTCGGGTGTCCCGCTTCATTACCACGACGCGCTTTGCAACGAACGTGCCTCCACTCGACAATGCCTGAAGACCACCGTTTTAGGACGCTACTTTGTGGTCCAGTTCCCTTTACGAGGCATCAGTGTACATTCGCCTCTCCCTTCCTTTGTCTGTTCCAGTTTCTAACTTCGACGCTGCCATGTTTGACATTTCCACTTTACTAATTACTTAGCGTACGACAGAATTATCATAAGCATGATAATTGTTCGTTAAATTGCTATATCTCGTATCGAATGCATTTACTATTTTTGGGATCTTGAATGAATTCTCACTGATTTATACGAACTCCTCGACGATCAGTAGTTTAAGGCGGTATTGGTCAAACATTGATCGAATGTCTATAACCATTAGAAGGCAACTCGAGTTCAGATTATATTTATTCATCTTGAATTACTCAAGCTTTCATGAAGTTATTTTATAAAACATCACGATCCTTCCAATGGGCAGAAGGAAATGAATAATCCATGTAACGAACCAGTATTAATATCGTCGGTTTGTCCGAAGTGGAATGCTAATGGTTGGTCAGTGAGACGATGGTCCGTGCATCGTGCGAGGCGCCGCGCTCGCACGTGAAATGCAATTACGCGTGGACGTACCGTGTAACCATTACGCACGGAACCACCGAAAGAGAGACGGAGGGAGGGATGCAGGGTGTCGGTTATCGGTTATAGACAGCGATACACCGGCGCCCTAGATACGCTGCAAATCGCATACATTACGGGCAGCTTTACAAGAGATCGAACGCGGCGGCATTGAAACTTTATGCCCGGCCCGGACTGGCCGATTGGATTTTCCGGCCTGCCCCGGTCATACGCCGTCGATGGCCCGCTAAATATAGTGGCACACGCCATGTCACGCTCTACCAATCGATCCGAGTATTATGTATTTGAAATCGTTCGGCGGGGCTGTTTGAAAATCGTAGTTGGGATTTGGAAATTGTTTCGAGATCCGCGATGGTTGTTTAATGGCTTCGTTTGTTTGTGAATTCGGATGGACGAATCGGGAACCACCCCGAGGGAAAACACGCTTTGTTTCGTATATTCGAGAGATTGTTCGTGAAACATTCGAAAACGAAGGTATGCGAGCAAAAATCCTTGTTACGCGAAGCCGTCACGTCAACATTGGGCAAAATAAGCCCTTTCGGGCAAATATTCCTTTCCTTCGATTCAATATGAAAAATAAGAACGCTTTGAATCCAGTGGCATATCAGTTTAATCATTCACATTTTAATCCGTTTGGGATTGAGAAAAATTCAGTTCAAACGCTTGAAAATATAATACCGGTTAAAATCGGAAAATATGCAAACGCACAGAGAAATTACAATTATCGGATGACGCTCGGCGCTGAATATATTAGCTTCATCGCAATTTTGTTGAAAAACAGCCGGGGATAACTGGATGAAAGTAATTTCCTTGTTTGAGAACAGTTCGACGATGATAATTTTAAAAGGTAATACGTGATTTTGACGGGAGGCATCAAAATTCATCGCAATTCTCTGTGATCCATTTTCGTTCCCGATATTCCCGAATGAGCCGAATAGGAAAACGGCGTTTTGGCTTTTCATCGAAGATAACCATTTTCATCCGTCGAGGTTCGTTCCGAAACGTTTTAGATTAATTTTATATTCGATCCTATACTTATTCGATTTCATCTGCTTTCTACGTGATCATTATTATCCGATATATTGAAAAACTGTCGTAAATATCAGTGGCCAGAATCTCCTACATTTTTTAACAAATAGCAGTTTCCATTTATATCTGCTCAATAACATTTGCACTATTTTATATTGTTATTTCAACGAAATCGTCTGATCACACTATGTTCTCGTATTTTTCTTCTTAGGAAAAAGTTTTATAATATAAATATTCAATAATTCCTCTACACGTTTATCACCGCGGAAGTAATAAATCACTTTAATTCGCGAGAACGAGTCACCACTATATTGCATTTAAACCCCGTTGCTCCTCCACGAGTCTCCCTAACAGGGAAAGAGATTATTTTTATGGGTCCCGTAAAGAGAGGGTTGTATAACGAGAACTCCCGTAAAAAGAATAGAACAAAGTAGAATCTTGTTATAATGAGGGAGGAGGGCTAAGCGATTTTCCATTATAACGACGTTAATTTCAACGCGAACACCTTATCCAATAGAAAAACGTTTGATCACATAAAATCCTGTCACGTTACAGAATTGCATTATTAAACTTCATATATTTCAGAATATTTAAAACATAGAAATACGATGAAAATCATATTCGAAAATCTTGTGAATTATGTGTGTTAATTTTTTTATAATCGATTATTATTACCATCTTCTCATCATTTAATTTTGTACTTAAAATATTGAATAATCTTTTCTACACGATGGTAGTAAAATGAATTATGAAACACTTTGATCAAACGTGAACTTAATCTCGATCCACGGGCAGTAGTATAACCCAGTATTTCGCAGACGTCGAATTCCAGCAGGAAGGAAGTACGGTGCACTTCCTTCCTGCCGTGGCGTTGCTACTGACTGTCGATTATTTATGAAAAAGGACACTGGACTGGAGGTGCGCGCGAAGGCGGAAGCACAGAGACGACGAATAACACAGCCGAGATAAAAAGGGTACGGAATTTTCGTCGACACGTCAGGAAATTCTTCGGCAGGGTGTTTATAGGGTCGATCGATTTCAAGCGATTTCGAATGCACCTCTCGCGGTCGCATCGCAGTTGCGCGTTTCCGGGACTGACATTGCTCTGTGATAAAGAGTGCATTTGCATGCCGACGATTTGCGATTCAGTTCCAGGATCCTTGAGAACAATCGCTGAACGTTCAACGTTCTAGTGGCCAAGCCTTTCGATAAAAAATTCGTCTTCTACTGGCTTTATATTTGTGTCTGTTGGGAATTATTATTTCACGAACCTTTTAACA